CGGATCGATGGATCGAGCGAGTGACCGGAACGAAGACGCCAGTGATGAACTGATGACGATTTAATTATGTAAAAATTCACATAATTACAAAAAAAATCTATATTATTTCATAACCATAACCCAATAAAAAAAAAAAAATTATTATTTTTTTTACCCTTTTATCTTATTTTGACCGTTACTGTTTCTCTTTTACTATTGATGACGATGAATTTCTGGTGCTACTGATCTTCGATTGATGGTCGAGTTAAAACCAACGTCCAGAGACAGCAAACTTTCCCTCGCAAAAAAAAAAAAGAAAAGAAAAGTTTTTTTAAACGACGATATTTTGTTATTTAAATTTCATTTCTGACAAAAAAAGAATATTTTTATTCTCGATCCCGCTGTTTGTTTATCCATTCTGCGCATGTTAGCCCGCCTCTATTCTCTCTCTCTATCTACTCTTTCTATCCATCTCTCACTCATCCTTCTCTGCTCAACCACCCATCTCCTTACCACCCTTCACCAGTACTGCAAACGCATTCCACTACCACCACTACTTTCCACTGTCGCCACTTTCACCTCTACGACTACCATTACTACTACCATCGCCGCACCACTCACTACTGCCGACTACTACTACCATTACCTCTCCTTCACCCCTTCCACTCTATCTACACTACAACTAACACACAACTTCACCACTAATATTTTCGCCATCACCACCACCACCACCATGCATCTCTATCCACCACCTCCACCACAATGTCGCTGAACCTTCCTCGTACCACAAAAAATTGTCACTGATTTTTACTCAACCAAAAAAAATAGGTTGCTAGAAAAAATTTTTATTGACCACAGCAAATAAACTTTTATTTTAGCTGAAATATTTTACATTTAAAAATTACCCTACTTCTACCATCAAATAAAAAATAATAATAATATCGTATATTTTCTATCATTTGATTCAACGAGTACTTTTGATTTTTTTTCTTTCTTAATTCTCTATCATTTGATTTTCATACATTGACTTTCTGATGATTTGTAACCTGATCTGCTGCTTCTCTCTTATTTTTACCTTTTTAGACCCCGTTGTGTTATGTATATTTTTGAATGCAAGATGTGTTTCTTCTTTTTTTTTTTGAAAATTTTCCTCTTCTCTGTTGTTTGCTGAGAAAACCGAGCATTAGAACCAAATATAATTAAAAAATAGCTTGATTAGTTGTTAATTTTTTAAATATTTTAAATATTTTTTTAATTGATTAAAATATTAAAAAAATTCACTAAAAATAAAAAAATACTAATTAAAAACTCAAAAAAATAATTTTCAAAAATTGAAACAAATTTTTAATACAAAATCTATTTTGACTCGTTCAGACCCGCCCATTTGCCACGTTTGAAAAAAAAAAAAAAAACTAACAAATTATTCCAAAATTCCCCCCAAAATTTCCCTCATTTTTCTTCTTCTCAGTCGCGCTCATCTCTCTCTGTCTCTCTCTCAATCGTTTTGTATTTTGTTTCCCTTTGAATTTCAGCCTCTTTTTCTTTCTCTCATTTGTTGCATAACCCTAACCCAACCCGTCTTTGAGAGAGATGCAGAGACGAAACGACATGGAGATGAAGGCGATGTGACTCCGGTAGACGACTCCAGCAGACGACTCCGGCAGCTAGGCGAGGGGAGGCGACATCGAGGCAAGGGAAGGCGGCGACCGACGAGGTCCCTTTCGTCTTCATTTTGATTTGTTACATATATATATATATATATATATGATTTCTTGCCATGGTTTGATTTGTTGTTGATTTGTTAAATGGGTTTGATTAATTAAGTTTTATGGGTTTGAAGATTTAGGGTTTGTTGTGGATTTTTTTTCATCATCATTCTCATTTGTTCCTATTATATATATATGATTTCCTGGGTCAAAATTGTTTGTTTGTATTATTCTTTTTGCTGTGGATGTTATTAATTAGGTGATATGTGTATGCTATTTATGAAACTGAAGATGAGTTTATTATGGGTCTTGTTTCTGATTGTTTTGTCATCCAATTTTGTCTCTATGCTGTCAAAAATCAGAACATAACAATTCATCAGGGCGAAAATTTTCCTTGCTATAGATTATTTTTTTAAATCAATTTTGATCAATATCCTCTTGACAAGTAAATATTATAGGGAAAATATTGGTTATTTTTGTTCTTTCTGTACTTGTTGCGTTCGTATGGATCTGCATTGTAATGTGAAGAGTGGCTGGAACAAGGGCATCAAACGTTTTGCTCATAAAATTAAGTTATTTTAGGAACTTATAGTATTGTTATACTAAATATAGGATGAGAGGTCTTGATTAGTTGTCTTTGCTCTTAAATTAAGTTCTTGGTAGGAACTTTAAAGTATTGTTTTACTAAATTATATGAGAGGTCTTGATTTGCAGTGATAGACAATTACTTATTGGAGCTGAGACTGTTGATATGAAAAAATGGCCAATATTGCTGCTTATTCATTGAGTGTTACTCATGATTGAGAAGCTTTGAACTGCAGTTTTGAGAAAATATTTACTGAATTTGGATTACATGGGGGCGAAAAATTTAAATTTGGAACTACGTAGTAAAAAAAATTTCAACAGCATACTTCTCACAATAATGGACTGACTCTATGAGCAATGACTACAAAATGCACCGCTGATGATGGAGATTGCCGTAAACTGAGGTTCTCCTGAAACCTAAGAGTTTGTGAGCTTAGATACGATTAGAATCAATAGCAACGCTTTCTTCTTCTTGTTCTTCTTTAAGAAATTAATTGACGCAAACAATAAATCTCATAACCTCTGATTGAGAAAGCTTTGAACTTGTTCTTCTTTAAAATAGCAACTGATGCAACTGTGTGGTATTCTCATCACATTCCTAAGTGATTGAAGTTAGTTAGTTAATCAATTAGGGAAATGTGATATTAATTTTACCATTTATATAAAACGCATCTAAATAAAGTTTTAAGAGTGTAATGCATTCACAAAATTAAAAGATGTAGAAAGTGATGATGATGTGACTCAAAGCCAAGATCATTTTCAATGAATCTGAAAGTTGAAGCAACAATTTCATTAAATATTTTTTACTGTCAAAGATGATCAGCATATGCTACTAGATGATTCTATTGCTTTAAAGTCATTTCCAAGTAAAGTCGTTTCCAAGATAACCAAACACATTATTGTCTCTCTGCGTCACATCTTAATTGGACATTTCAAACTGTAGACCTATTAACAATGAGAATAAAGGCATTTTAATAATGATTAGGTTAGGTGTACGACGAGTATGTAGAAAAACATGAACTCATTGATTAACTCCAATTTTAGGGTTTTAGTTTCCTTAAGAAGGTAGTACAACTAAATGCATTAGTTAACTATTTTGTGTTGTTGAATTAAAACTGCTTCAATTCTTAGGCTCTTGTGGATGAATTTGAGTTTTCTCTATTGGAAATTCTACAAGAGCTTGAATTGGTTCCCACATCTAGAGAACTTGGATTGAGTGGTAGTAAAATTTTCTTAATGCCATACATTTTGGAAGAATACAAGTAACTGTCAAGAATACAAGTAACTCTCTTTCTCTCCTAAATTCTTGCAAGAATACAAGTAAACATCAATACGCTTACAAGGCTTCAAAAATTTCCATTTACTAATTTCTTTGAGCAACTGTCAAGAAATTTGATTGACCAATAAGAGCTATGTTGTTTGGAAGTCTTTTACTGACAAGAAATTTATGAGAAAGCAATTGAGTGGTTCTTTTATTCTTTAATTGCTATTTTCTTTTTTCTTATTTAATTTTCATTTCAATGTCTTTTAATTTCGACATAGTTAACTATCTTGATTATGCAGGCATGGCTCCTTGCTCTAGTTATTTTACTTCTTGTTGAGATGGCTTTGGGTATGGTTGTAGATTAAGCCAACTATTTCAGTTCTCATTGTTTATAATAGCAACTGATGCAACTGTGTGGTATTCTCATCACATTCCTAAGGTTGAGTGATATGATATCACTTCCAACTTTGTAAAGAGGCATCTTAATTCTCTTTATTGACTTAATTCTTTCCTGTGGGATAAATGTTTCCTTTTCCTAGATCTTGATTCATATCTTCATTTATAAATCTAGCTTTGTCTTGATCTTGAATAGCAGCCAGTGCAAGCTCGCTCCCCAATACTTATGAAGGGTGCACCATAAAATAAATAAATAAAATCTTAATTACAAACCCTTAGGATTATGTTATGAATTTTTCTCTCTCCAAATTTTGTTACCAATCATTGTGGTCTATAGTGGGGAAGGAAGAGTGGGTTATGGTGGTAAAGGAAACATGCTATAGTCTGTCGCATCTAATGGCAGAACATAATGATTTTATTTTATTTTTGTTGTGTGTGTATCTTCTTTGGGCACTTAATTACCATCTGAAGGTCGTAGTTATAATAGAGAAAATGCCATCTGCTATAATGTATCCTTTAAGCTCAGCAGGGTAACCCACAGCGGATATTCTTATCTATAATAATGAAATCTCCATAGTAGCCACTATTTTTCTTTCTTGTCTTTCTGTTTTTCCTTTTAGTAATTTATTGAACATTACTGTCAAAGGGTCATAATAAATTTTATTGCTCAAACATTAGAAATCTTGCTGCAGAAGTCCTTTTGAGCATACTTTTTTTTTTGTTTTTTTTGAAGGGGTGGACAAGGTCCAATAAGACTTTGTTTTGCTTGATTTGACCTGGCGTTGATCCTTCATAGCCTTTCTGTTCAAATGTCTAGCTTGCTTAATGTTTTTGTGGTTCACTATCTATTAGACATTGTGTTTATGCTTCCACTGAATTGCAAATTAAACTTCATGTTAGTGGAAGGAACAATACTTTTCATAAATTTCCTACTAATATCAGCTTAGCACAATGTACAGGAAAATGCTTGGTTTTTGGGCAGGTCATCGCAATTCTGAAATGAGAGCTGCACTAGCAAGTGAATGAGAGAATGACACAGAACTTGATATCCAGAACAACAGAATAACTAGAGGCACTGGACATTTGGTATACCTACAGAAATTCTATACCACGAAGTTCTGCATATGCCCGGTGGTTCATAAGTCAATAGTGATCGCATAGCAGACTCTATACATTATGGATGTGTACCTGGTAAAAGAAATATATACTCACCTAAACTTTTTATACAGAGTGCTTGTATAAGAACAGCCTGTCTTGAATTCTGTTTTCTAAGCAGTTTTTTTTTTTTTCTCTCCAAATTATCTTATTTTTACTTATCAAATAATTGAACTTTATTTTGCAGATTGATTTAACAATGTTTGGTGGTGAACTATTGTCCCAGGAAGGCCTCTCATGAGAAGGAATTGCTTCAGGTACTTGACGTTTCCCAGTTATCCATGTAACCTGGGATTCTTCATTTTTAAAAAGCAAACATGTTTCACTTATAAAAGGTTTAACTTATGCATGCTTCAGATTTAATTAATCAAAAAGGAAAAAAAAAGAAAAAGAAAGAGGCAAACTAGTTGAACATGTTATTTATGGTATGCACGTATATCATTGAATGTATTGTTGATGACGTTTTTCTCAAGCAGCTAAAGAAGGAAGGCAGAAGAAATCAATATGAGCAACATAAACTACAAGCTTTAAATCAGCACCAGAAAATGGTAAAGATTTCTTTCGTACAAGTGCTTCAGTAAAATTATCTAGGGCCTTTCTATTTTTATTTTTATTTTTATTTTTATTATCTGTGTCTGTACACATCACTAACTTCATTGAACAGTAAGCCTCGGTAGCTGATATGCTTTGAGACTCACTTTTTATTTCCTTAATTATTCTACATTTGGATAATGCATATGAATTATCAGGCAAGTTTCTAGAGCCTTTGTCAGGTTTGAAGGGCGTTACGGTTTACAGGAAATAATTTCTCATTATGTTTAGTCCAATGTTGATGATTGAAATGCTTAACCAAACCCTCTCCATCTGCTTAAGCTTTTAGATTTGTTGTCCAACAGCATTGCATTTGGATTATCTCACCTCCTACCCTCAAACATAGATACAAGTACAAGAGAGTACTAGATTTCTGCTTGCATAACAGGTGAGGGAAACATTTCTTGTACATTGCTGTCAGTTGAATTGTACAAGAAAGTGCTAGTTTTGATTTTTGATCAAACTGGTTTTCACTGGACAAGTCCAATCAGTACACACACACATATATATATAGTCGAGACGTGTGAAATTGAGATTAATTTCTATTCATTAAGCCAACCCTTATATATAACCTTAGGTATGTTGCTGCTGTTCCTTCTACATATTCTGCTAATCCAAAACCCAAGTTTTCTTTCTGCCTTGGAGTTTGTTTAAGCGATCTCTGTAATGCTTTTTGCCTATATCTGCTGATCAAAAAATGCTATATGCCTATATCTTAACATTTTTAGTTAATTTCTTGTGAAATTTTTCTTGAAAAAAAATTCTTATTGGCAGGGATGTCTGAACTTCATATTCTTTAACATTTGTTTTGGGTGCTTTGACCATCTAATATTTATTTGCCCATAACTGAAATAAGTAATTCATGAATGGTTTGCATTTGCATTAATCATTTCCTGCACCAATTTCTTTTTTATGTGGTTTCACTTTGGAACTTTAACTATAGTTGACAAAGGTCGAAGTCTTTTTTATTTTTTATTTGTCTTTCACTATTGTAAATAAATAAATGCTTACTTTTTGGTTGAGATCTACCAAACTTGTAGTTAAATCATATTTGTTGACAACGGTTCAAGTCTTTGTTTAGATATTTTAAGTGGATAAATGCTAACTTTTTGTATTGAGATCTACCAAACTTGAATCATATTTGTTAAAAATTCTTATATGGTGCAGGCTAGAAATAATGCACGGATTATGATCGCTGGCTCTTTAGATATGTTCAGTAATGGGTTTGTATCGTCGTGCACTTAATCTGAACTTTGGAAGTTTCTCAGGATATTTGATCTCATTATTTAACGTTTGTCCTTTATGTGATTCAGATTGTTCAAATCAGGTGTGCAGAAGGCTGGGAGCTCAAATAAGTGAGTAATCCTCTGGTCAATCTTCATTCAGTACTTCTACATGCCAGCTTATTATCCAACTTGTTCTCTGACTTACAATCTAATGGTCCACATTTGTCTGTGTACATCCAAAACATGCATAAAAATGAATAGATGAGACAAAAGTTAAATGCATTAAAGAAGCGTTGAACAGTACCACTCATGAATGTGCTTGTGTCTGTGTGTAAGAGAGAGAGAGAGAGAGAGAGAGAGAGAGATGCCCTTATGCTTTGAAATAAATGGCGTTAGCATCGTCTTTTTGGCCAAGAGAATATTTTCCCTTTTCGTTATATTGTTTTGTAGATTTTTTTTGGTGATTTGAATATAACTGTAGATATATTGGAGGTTCTTGATATAGATGTTCATTTTGCCTTTTGTATATTCCATGTGTACATTGACTCATTACTCAATGTGAAATGAGTCGTTACAACCTGACTTATTCAATTGTCTGTTTTTCTGTGAATGATTAATTCTAGTGTTTTCCTTTTGTCATTCATTTCTTATTCATCGTATCATTGAATGTTCTCTTCTTGTTTTGGGTTCTCACAAGTTTATTTAACAATATAGGATCCCTCTGCCATGGTTATCGATCACACTAACTATGCTGTCTCTGACACCGAGGGAGATCATACAATGATTGCCTCGGATGATTTTGTTCAGTCTGATGTGATGTTGGGAAGTGCAAAAATGGAGGTCAGCTTGATAATCAACTATAATAGTTTGGTTTAATTTGTATTACTGTACTCTCTCTCTCTCTCTCTCTCTCTCTCTCTCTCTCAATGGACTACTGCTCTTTAGAATATTTGAAGCCTTATCTAAAATTTTCAAGGTCATGTATCTAGTTGCTGTTGGTGGTGTACATATCTATCACAGTTTGTATTTTGATATTAACGTTTTCATAATAATTTATCTTTCTATTCATTACTTTCTTTTTTTATGTTTTTCAACTTAAACCTCTAAAGTCAATAAATCAATGCTTGCATTTCTGATAGATTCTATATTCAATGAAACAGGCCCCTGTACTTTTCAAAGGGATTGGCCATTCATTAAATTCTGCCAATAACTTGGTAAGGTTAAAGGTCTTTTTGTTTGTCTTTTGCTTTATCTAGTTTTATGTCCTAGTTAGAAGCATGCACATAGAGTGACTCAAAGTGTTCGGTGGATTTGTGTTGAGGAATTCACTTTTGTGATATCTTATGTAATTTGTAGGCTATGAAAGTTCTTGGAGCCTCTCCTTCTGCATATTCTGCTAATCCAAAATCCAAGTTGTCAAATCCTCCGTCCCTTACCGGATCTGCTATATCATTGGTTTCAGTTGTGCAGGTCATTTTTTGTTGTTTTTTTTTCTTTCTGCCTTGGAGTTTGTTTAAGCGATCTCTGTAATGCTTTTTGCCTATATCTGCTGATCAAAAAATGCTATATGCCTATATCTTAACATTTTTAGTTAATTTCTTGTGAAATATTTCTGGAAAAAAAATTCTTATTGGCAGGGATGTCTGAACTTCATATTCTTTAACATTTGTTTTGGGTGCTTTGACCATCTAATATTTATTTGCCCATAACTGAAATAAGTAATTCATGAATGGTTTGCATTTGCATTAATCATTTCCTGCACCAATTTCTTTTTTATGTGGTTTCACTTTGGAACTTTAACTATAGTTGACAAAGGTCGAAGTCTTTTTATTTTTTATTTTTCTTTCACTATTTTAAATGAATAAATGCTTACTTTTTGGTTGAGATCTACCAAACTTATAGTTAAATCATATTTGTTGACAACGGTCCAAGTCTTTGTTTGGATATTTTAAGTGGATAAATGCTAACTTTTTGTATTGAGATCTACCAAA